ATGACGGATCGAAGAATGACGGGAGAGACGTGAACATGTAACCCAATACTGGACGAGTCCACTTTTACCTATGGCACGTGACAGGCCGAGTCCCGCTTTATTTCGGCTACGATTAATTTTATGACGGTCCACTCATAACTGCGTCATAACTACAAATCCTATTAGGGCTAAATACCTTGGAAAGAACTTGGAAAGTTGGGCGATAGTCTAACAATAGATATATTCTGCTACGAAAACCCCTTATTTGATCGATACATATGTACGATTGGGAAAACTGTGTTCTTACGTGTCTTTATTTTACCTACACTTAGTGCTAAATAGTTCGTTAGCAAAATTTAATATGGACAATAATAGTTTCCACTGTCATGTTGGTTTACAGTCGATCGCGAAAAATTTAATAATTTAGTCTATACCACTGGAAAACTCTCGATTCCCATTAAATCTTGTATCAACTGATGTTCTACTAAACATCTCTCATCAAATTCTCATTCGACAAGGGAATGCATTTTTTTTACCGGGGTGAAAGATTCATCTTGGGTGTTGGTAGAATGTTTACAAAAGTATTTTTAAATTGATCTAAATCTGAAGTTATTATAATGCAATTATTGTAAAAAAAAAAGTATGTATAATACGTTCTCATTTTGCAAAGTGTTAAGTACTGTAGAATCCAAAATTATCATTATTAGAACTCCAAGCATCATTTGTCATTTGTCCTGATGACAGAAATTTAAAGAGGTATTGATGAGAAGAGGTATTCAGTCGAACGAAATCAGGTCTTTCTAATAATTCTGACATTAGAAGCGCGGACAAGCGTAATAGTAGAAAACCATATAAATTGTGAATTAATAGTGTGCAAATGGGTAATCAATTGATAGCCCGTTTTAGGCCGGCCAGCCAGCCCATCCCACATGGGTAATCACGAATAAACGTATGTAATTTGCGTTCATACGTAACACAGCACAATAGCGTGATGTCGTAGTCCTACGTTCGCGGAATAAGTGACTAGCCATCTTGCTGTACATGACGAGATTCGGATTCTCTTGTTGTAAATTATGTATGTATTGTACAAAATGACGATGATATTAACCGATTGAGAGATGAGATCGGAACAGATCGGAACGAGTGCAACAAGGCCGATGCTGTTTTCATTGGCGCATGCAGGCTTAGTTTGATTTCTCGATAAAATTGTGGCACTAACGAGATCGTCATGCTATGCGCTTCCGCCGAAGGATATATAAAACGGCACGCGCTTCTATACCCGCACGCAGAGTGGTGTTGTTTGTCCGATTGCAAAAATGCGACCACTTTCGGGTATCTTACTGCTGCTCCTTACCTGCCAACTCGCTACGTCGACACCGATTTTCAGTAGAGGTGGTGTATTGTAGTTATTTATAAGTGCTAAATTAATTACATCCTATAGTGTAGAGGATAATGAAGTGTAGGATTAAAGTAATCGATATTATAGTTGAATTAAACATATATTTCAGTTCCTCAAGTTCTTGAAATGAATAGTTGTTCCGATTCGAGAGAGAGAGAGAGAGAGAGAGAGAGAGAGAGAGAGAGAGAGAGAAAGAGAGAGAGAGAGAGATTATAATGTAGTTACAGTTCCAGTTTCGTGCGAAGAGAAATGGAATTATTAGTGTGTCTTCCAGCAAGTGGTGTTACATTGTGTCATCTGTGATGCTTGCTGGAAAGTACACGTAGTATATATCCAAATTGTTTTAAATTTAAACTTAATTCGATATCTTTAAGCAAAAATAGATATAACATTAATAAGTATATCAGTGATTAAATGTTCAGATTTCTGATTTACGCTAAATTTTACAAAATTATATAAATTAAAAAAGAATTTAACAAGATTGCAGTCAATTGTACTACTTAATTGTGATGTGTAGTGACCAATCCTGCTACAAATCCTATAAATTTGTAATATCCTGCTGAACGCAAACGTTTGTCGTAGATGGAACAGGTCGATCAACTGGATTTGGAGAAACAATACGAGATTGGTTTAAAATGATCAAGGACCGAATTGTGGGAAAATGGCGGGAATGGTTTGGCAAAGATAGTCCAACTCCGAATTTATCACCACAGGATATTTTGAACATTGATAAGACCTTAGAGGGTCGAATATCGAGTTATCCAGGCTTGTTCTTAGATTTATGTAAGCAAAGTTCAATAACATGAAATTTAAGAGTCAGTATTCGTAGAATTTTTCTTCAATTTATCACATAGCAAAACTGAAACTCGCGTTGAATGTCAAATCACGTGTTTATGCTTCGCTACGGAACATAATTGAGCGATTTCGACGTTTTACATGATGCGTCACTCGCGAATGTTGTATGAGAGATACAATTAGGATTACAGTGTATAATACCACGTATATTTTTCAAAAGTTTCCATGAGATTGCATCCTTCTAAACAACTTCTAGACGACCCAGATTTAACTTTCGTATTTTGTCAATTTTTTTCGTGCTAATAGCTAGCTTATCGTTCGACCCAAAACGAGATTGGGGCGTCCGGATTGGTAACTGGTACATCATCCGGAAAATTGCAGGCAATGACTACGGGGACAGTGATTCGGATGAGTGGGACGTTATGCCGAATCTGCCTCCTATATTTGGGACCGACTGGACACCTGACTTCAGTAAACTTCCAACAGAAATTCCGAAAACTACGCAACCTCCATCGACTACACCAAAGATCGAATTGACTACATCGAGACAACAGACAACCCAAACTGTTACTCAAACGCAATCAGATTTAACTTTTACCGAATCAACTGTAACCACCGAGGCTATCGTGACTTCTACCAAATCGATTCCACTTACTACCCAACTAATTACAACTTCCATAGAGCCGAATATAGAAATTGATTCATCAAGTGAAGAAATGATAACTTCCAGTGAATCTGTTGTAATGAATAGTGTACCGGTTGCAGTACCTATTAACTCTACATTAACATCTACCGAGTCAATTACCGAATCAACTGTTTCGTCAGTTGATACTACTATGTTTTCCGTCACATCGACATCATCCACTGATCTAACTTCTATCAAATCGATCGAAACATCTATCGAATCTGCAGTTTCTAATGAAGCAGACAATCAGTCTTCTGAGGAATTAACTACTACTACTATTACCAATGACTCATCCGAAACGTCCACCGAACAAATTTTACCTTTCTTTAATAAGCGAGTAGAAGATAATGAAACCGTTAATAAACGTACCACGAAGAAACCTCGTCCAGCATCCGCCGAAGTTATAACGTTTTAAATAGATTGTATATCATAAAAAAATTCAGGTGTACATCTTCAATGATTTTTAATAAAGTTTTAAGTATGTAAGTTGTAAATACATATTGATTAGATATAAAAATATTAATATACTGAAAATTGAAGTAAAAAAAATAATAGCGCATTAATTCAATATGATAAATTTTTTAACAAGGCATTGTTACAAGATGTCAAGAAAAATGTGATAAACAGGTTTTCATCAAGAAGAATACACGTTTATTCCGTAAAATTTATTATAATTTCGGCGCTATTCCATATAGTAAAATATAATAACTTTTACGTCGATGATTGTGTGGACTTCAAGATGGCTTCTTTTACTGTAATAAAAAAAAAGTGTATGTATTAAAAAATAATATATCTTTTTTTTGTATTTAAAATCAACTTTTTAACATGCACATAACCAATTTTAATACAAATAGTTTATAGCAATAGGATAGCACATATACACTTACATATCTGTAATTAATATATAAAGCATGTTCTCCCTCAAGTGTATTAGTTAAATATAAAAAATATATACACAAAAAATTCAATACAATTCAATATTCAAGTATATTCAATTTTCACACAAAATTGTTTAAACCTCAGTAATTTTCGTGCATACTTAATTTTATATTAATATAAATGCAAATGTAATATAGAATAAACTTTAAAATAAAATAAAATTGTTTGTTACTTTGTTAATACAATATATTTGTGATTCATTGAAATCAATATTTTTGAGCAAGAGAAAGTTAATTACAAATTCATAAGGTTAATTTCTTTTTTTTTGAAGGATGTAATCTAATTTCCTAATAATAACTACTTTTAAAACAATTTGATTACTATAGTAAAAGTTTAATTTTAATTTTAATTGTAGTGATACAGACAACATGTTAGTGTAAGTTTAGAATTAAATTATTATGCAGCAAAATGCAAATATAAATAATCAAGTCTTATACATAATTATACACAGTTTCTAAATCTACACTCTACATCATCAAAGATGCTTATTGTATATGAAAATATAATAGTGTAATGTAAGGTTATTATATTTTCATATCATGAAAATAAAATATTACATCTGTATACTACTATGTATACAAATTAACAAACTAGAATATTAGAATTACATGATTAGTAATATAATAAATAAATCATAAAAATATAACATATATTTATGCTGTTATAAATAAAAAAAAATATTAGCATGCTCATACAATAAAGAACAAAAGTATGAAACTTAAAAAATTTGCATGCTGACCCTGATTAAGCAATAAGAAATTGCTCCTCCAGAAGTCTGTAGTACAAATGATGATCATTTCTCTATTTCCTTCCCTAGAATGTGAATAAGAAGCGTATACCACTGTAGCATGCATAATAGACATCAAAACCAAAGGAAAATTTATTTCTAAATTGCCCATGAACATTATTATGTTATCAATAAAAAAAATACTTAATATATTTTTATAATTATTTTCTCAGATAAAACATATCACACAACTATTGTACTGTGTGAGAAATGTAAAAAGTTAAACCAAATTTTACAAATCTACTGAATCTAACTTTTTAACAAATATATGAACATTTATCATGTATTTAAACTTATCTATTTAATAATATTAGGAATTTAAATTGCCATGTAAGAACTTTCAATATATACAAACCGATTTTATTAAATAGAATAGTGCATTAATATAATCAATTAACTGAATGAAAACAAAGAAAAATTACATTAGATAGAACATACAATTTAAAGACAATTACAATTTTAATATAAGAGATTTAAACCCCATGTGATTAAAAAAAGAAATAAACATGCATCAGATATTTGATACCAAAAAGCATTAAAAAGAATTAAATAGAATAAAGAAATTGTTTGCAATGTTATAATATTAATGTTCAAGTAATAGAGCAAGAAATGTTTATGAAAAAAATATATTCGAAATACATTATTTTGCCTACCTTCTTAGACGCCGCTCCAACTTTACTCTTTTTAGTACCCCTAACTTTCTTCATTCTGTTTTTGCGTTCCTTACGTTGTTTTCTCGTTTGTTTTTGTTTCTCAAAGAGACCATGCCTTGCTAACCTATATTTAGGTTCAAATTTCTTTGCAAAATCCAAGGTGTCATAGATAAGTGCAAATCCAGTAGATTTACCACCACCAAAGTTGGTTTGAAAGCCGAACACAAAGACAACATCTGGAGTCACTTTATACATCTTGGCTAATTTCTCTCGAATCTCGGTCTTACGAACTGATGGTTGGCCAGGATGAATAACATCTACGACCTATGATCAAAATAAATTATCGTATAAATTCTGATCTGGGATAATGAATTGATATAATGAATACTCAAGTCTCACACTCACCATTTGTTTTCGGCATAAAAGCCGATTGGTCATGAACTTTCTTGTCCTGATGGTAGCTGTACCTTCCGTCTGTAAGCAAAAATCAAAATACATTTCTTTATTTATAGGTTAAATTAGGTTACTTATTAGACATCTTCAGAGTATCGAAATAGAATAACGAATACTATAAATTGGTAAAGAGAGATAAAAAAAACTTTAATTAATTTTATTATCTATTATCTCATAAAACATCGCAAATGGTCACACAAACAATTACAAACATGTATTTCTCAATTGAGGTTATGTCACGTCATGTTTGATTAATCTTACTATAATTGATACTTTCTGAACATGATATATACAACACGTATTTTGTTAGATGCCATTATTAAATATTTAATTGAATGTTGTACGTTCCGTAGGATGATTACTAAAGAATTTTTCGATACAAGTTACATACCATTTTGATCGGTTATCGTTTAGCGTACCGCTTGGAAAAAGGGACGTTCGGAAACACGCACCGCCATCTACGAAAGATTGCACAGCAGCATCGGTATCCGGACATTCGCGTGTATTTTACGTTAAAAAATACTGTATTGTTTATATTTACAATCGACATTATCGATTAAAAATAATTGAAAATCCTCTTATTTAATTTTCAAGACGTTACCACGTTCAAACAGTTCGAAATATTAACTCGTATTAAAATTTGTCACCCAAATTTGTTGAGTTAAAATTTGTAAGTAAACTCTCTTGTGTGTGTGTGATAACTTTGAAAAATCTTAACTTCACTTGAAAGCAAATTGTCCCAAGGCCAGACTTCTGTACTTTGAATTAGTACAGCGAGAATAAAAAAAAAAAAGGCTCTAGAAAAAAAAGTAAAGACAAAAGTATAAAAGTCTGTGGTGTGAAATTTGTAACAAACAGAAGAAAACATGGGATATTATTTTTTATATCTATAAATAATTTTTTTAAAGAGAAAGTGTCGTATCGACCGAAAAAAAAACTGCATGATCGACGCGCGAGTTTGTGAGGGAACTGGGAACTTTCGAAAGAGACCGACGCTGTGCGCGTAGCGCTTCCGCCAACGTCGGCAGCTGATTGGCGCTCAGCCGTCGGCTCGACGACCGACGTTGACCACTGCCGTTCCCTAGGAAGTTTCGAGAACATACTACACTGCAGGCGGCAATATCGGTAGGCGACGTGGGCGCACGGACTACGGTGGACTACGGAGTTGCACGGAATCCGGGCTCGCTCAGTGCTCAGTTTCATACGTGAAACGTTGTGACGCGGACGCGAAAGTAGAACGGGCGTTGCACGAAACGTGCGCGGTCATTCTCTAAAGCGACACTCCTCGTCATTTACACAGGTAAGTAACTCTCGCGAATCGCGGGGGACTCTTCACTCTTGTGAGTCTTGTCGTCAGGAGAGAGACGATTCGTCGTGGCCGATCTGACGGCGTGAAAACGAACAACGGATTGAATGGACGGCCCAAGTCGCGCGATCGATCGATCGGTTGGTCGGCGATATTCGTCCTCTCTCTCTCTCTCTCTCTCTCTCTCTCTCTCTCTCTCTCTCTCTCTTCCCCCCTGAGAAACGTGTAATTGATGATTAGCGTGTTCGCGTGAGGCATTTATATAAAATTTTCCGGAATCATTGTCCACGTTGGGAATTCGGAATTTCGGGATTTCGTCGCAGTTTTTTCTGGTCTATCTCCGCGTAACGGTCATCGAAATCAGAAAAAAGGGTGTGGGAGGCAGGAGCGCCTTGGCTTGGCGGACGGTCGAAGGTTGCGCGACGATATATTTCACACGATTGCACATTGATGGACGTTACGAAGCGAGAATTGAACTGATCGTCAGCCGAGTATGTACCTACTCTCTCGTTGCAACAGCGAGCTTGAAAAGAAAGATGGAAGCCAGTAACCTGGCTACCAAGTCTGCGTGCACGCTTGCCTGACGACTCGTGTCGAGTAACGATGCACCAAGGCATCGGCCACTGCTGAGAAAAGGAGATCGAGATAGGAAAAAAGAAAAAAAAAACAGAAAAAGTAGAGCCGTTTTTCGAAAACGCGTTTTTCTCGTGATAGCGTAAATGCGTCGAGCATAAAAATTCGTCACGAGCGACCTGGCAAACTCTTCGTTACACCGATTTTGTCGTTCGATCGACTTGGGAACCCGCCTGCTTGGTAACATCTATGCGAAAGTGGAAGGCTCTAGAAAGCTTGGAGAGGCGGTCTTTGTTCGCGAAGCGTCCACAGTACGCGCCTCGCCTTTTAAAATACTTCGCTCGCTGATCTATTCAATCGTATACTCCCAGTCCTACTGTAGACGCCATTTTGAAATTCGCATGAATTCCGCATGGGTATTTTATATTAATTTATATTCTTTGAATTCACGAGCGAGCGTACGGCTTCTACCTCTACACATGCAAAAAAAATTGCGTGAAAAAACGTCTGCATGCGTTGCGAGGCTTGAAATCAGTAGTGGTAAAAATGAGAAAAAGGAGGAAGAAACAAGTGTTTGTACAATTGGGCATTTATTCTTGAATAAGACTCCTGTTTTCAGTTTTGCCATTTTTGCTGTTAACTACAAGTCAACTTGAAACTCGAAGTCATTAAGCCAGAAGTTCTCTCACTTGGGTTACTGGTGCTAAATGCTCTTTTGTTCATTGTATCTTATATAACTTGAACTTGTTTGTTAATTTAAATATTCATAAAATTGATTCAAAGTTATTATGTATTTATTGTCCGATCAAATCTGACCATATTGAAATTTATGAGTAGATTTAATTATGTAACACTAGAAGAACGATACCTCATTAAAAATTATGAATTAATTATGAGTTAAACTTGTCTACCTTTTTGATCTTGCAATACGCATGTATGTTGTAACGTCACGAGCTGTTTAGTTTATCAATATAATGAATTTATTTTTCCTCGAATTCTCTGATGTCGTTTTATTGGCAGTAAAATTTTGACATTTTGACAGAATTTTTTGTGCGTATCAAATTATATCGTCAGGTCTATTCTTGTAGCTGTAGCACTTGATGTTCCTTCAATTTTCTAATGTTATTTTATCAGCAGATGAAATGTATTTTTCATTTAAAAACGAAAAATATGTATATTTAAAGTTTGGTGTCAAACAAGATATAAAAAGTTTTAGTACAGTTCAGTGCAATGACAAAGAACAGACTTATGTATTTAATAGCGATATAAAAAAATTAAAGCATTTATTATAACATTTTTTCTTGTTTACAGCAGCAAGAGTGGTTTAATACAACACTAACTATTTAACACACCGTGAAAATGGTTAAGGAGACTACATTTTATGATGTATTGGGTGTGAAGCCCGGATGCTCGCAGGAGGATTTGAAGAAGGCCTATAGAAAGCTCGCTTTAAAGTATCATCCTGATAAAAATCCTAATGAAGGAGAAAAGGTTTGTACGAATCTTATCATTTAAAATACTTATTGATTAGTTTACGTGTAATGAAACTTAATATAATATAATATTATAAAATATACGTTTTAGTTTAAACAAATTTCTCAAGCATACGAAGTATTGTCAAATCCAGAGAAGAAGCGTATTTATGATCAAGGTGGTGAGCAAGCTTTGAAAGAAGGTGGCATGGGTGGTAGTGGCTTCTCTTCTCCTATGGATATCTTCGATATGTTTTTTGGAGGAGGATTTGGTGGACGAGGAGCGAGGAGGAGAGAACGCAGAGGTCAAGATGTAATGCATCAATTATCAGTTTCCCTCGAGGAACTTTACAAAGGAACTGTGCGTAAACTGGCTCTGCAAAAGAATGTTATTTGTGAAAAATGTGAAGGTAACGTTTGTATGGAGATTGTAATTTTAAAAAGATCTATATTTGTGTGTGACACGGAGAATATGATATATCCGTCGTTTTTCGATTAGGTGTTGGTGGAAAGAAAGGTTCTGTTGAACAATGTTCGACGTGTCATGGTTCCGGCTTGCAAGTACAAATCCAGCAGTTAGGTCCGGGAATGTTACAACATTTACAAACTATGTGTGCAGATTGCAAAGGACAAGGGGAACGTATTAATCCTCGTGATCGTTGCAAATATTGCAATGGAAGAAAAACTATTAGAGATAGAAAGATACTCGAGGTTCACGTTGATCCAGGAATGGTTGATGGTCAAAAGATAACTTTCAGTGGCGAAGGTGATCAGGAACCAGACTTGGAGCCTGGTGATATAGTTATTCTTCTTGAAGAAAAAGATCATGATGTATTCAAGTTAGTAGTATTTTAATGGAATACTTATTAGGGAGCTAGTCATTTAACTGTTACTAATACGCTGCGATTAATTGTAGGCGTTCAAGAAACGATCTGATTATGCGAATGCAATTAGAACTCGTAGAGGCATTATGTGGATTCCAGAAAGTTATTCGTACTTTGGATGGTAGAGATCTAGTGATAACCTCACTTCCCGGCACTGTGACGAAACACGGTGACTTGAAATGCATCTTGAACGAGGGCATGCCGATTTACAAAGATCCATTTACACACGGCAGACTTATAATACAATTTATAGTCAATTTCCCGAAAAGCATAGACCCATCGCTTATTCCATCATTGGAACAATGTCTGCCGCCGAGGGAAGAGGTTATAATTCCAGACGGTGCCGAGGAGTGCTTACTTACCGACTTGGATCCTGAGCAAGAGCAAAGGCGGAGAGACACGAGACAAGCGTATGAAGAGGACGAAGGAGGTCCATCGCGAGTCCAATGTGCCACACATTAATTTGATTACACTAACCCTGTAATAAACATAGCCGTTTCTTTCATTTCAAACTCTGTCCCATTCGCTCGATTCTGTATTATGTTAAAGAAAGAAACAACATGGATATGTAGGCCAACTATTCAATGAGCGAGAAAGATATAATTCTACTGTTTGGATGTGTGCAAAAAAAAAACAGTGAGTACTGCAATTATTGATTCTTTAATTTTATCAGTTACATGAAAATTATACAATTTTGAAAATAAACAATTATCGACAATCTCTTTATGAAAAGGTCCAATGTGATGATGCATTTTACTAAGATGCATCTTATTGAGATATCTCTTATGGACAGGCTTCTTGTAGAAACTTTTTAAGCTACTTTTTAGGATATGTTTCTGATATTTTCTCAAGATGAAATGGTATATAGGGATGAATAGGAGAATTGTGAATACAGGATAAATGCGAATGATACTATTGCAGTATAAATAATGATACAAACTACAGAAATCAAAGCCTTAAACGGTCTAGCTGGATCTTAAATTCTTATGTGAATTTATATACTACGTATGTAGTCCCTCTAGAAACGCGAAACGCCGAAATGATTTTTCGGTCTTGAAAAAAAAACACTACACCTAATCGAAAAGCTTTGATTTATATAGTTTGTGTTGTCACATATACGGTCCTATATAATATGTTATAAATAATAATAATTTCTCATTTCTTGCATTCAGTGATTATCTGATAATTTGGTGTTTTCCAGCAAGCGACATAGTCTGATTAAAATCTCATTTTTAATATAATTTCTGAAATGATAACTTTAAATTATTTAAAGAATAAATCAATTCTTTAAAGAATTAATTGCATATTCTTGTGTCCTTTGTTAATATCATTTATTGTTTATCTGCGAATCGACGGACATCGTTCACTTCTCAATAAGATGATTTATTAAAATTTTATTCATTTCTTTTTCGCTTATTGTAAACATTCGTCTATGTACTCATGTTATTTCTTTCAATAGAGGATTATAAAAGTATGTACTTATCATTACACAATGATAAGAAAATTAAAATTTATTTAGATGTAACGTAAGGGTTCGATAACCGTCGTTACAATATAACGAAAGGCATCATATATTCTTGAACATTGCGATTGTCTCTGTATCAATTGTATCACTCCAATAACCAGCTAGCTGCTCGACAGTGACTATTACATGGCTAAAGTTAGAA